CAACAAATCTTCAACAATTCTCTTTGTATTTTCTGTTATCCCCACCTGTTCTGGTACTCCAGTCACTTGTTATTCCTCTTGATATAGTCTTACATAATTCTTAGGGTTTCTTCATTTTTTTTGAATCTTTTTATCTGATTTTTCCGCAAATAAGTTGGTGTCAAGTGCTTTATCTTCAGTCTCACTAATTCTGACTTCCATTGTCTCAGTTCTGCTCCTATGACTTTCTATTGAGTTGTCCAATTCTGAAATTTTATTGTTCATCTTCTGGATTTCTGATTGCTGCCTCTCTATGGATTCTTGCAGCCTGTTAAATTTGTCATTGTGCTCTTCTCTAATCTTAAGTTCCTCTATTGCTAGGTCTGTGTCATGTCTGATCTCCTGAAGAGTTCTGTATATTAATCTTTTGTATTCTGCCTCCGGTAATTCCAAGAAACTCTTTTCGTCTGGAAAATTTCCTGATTCTTTGTTTCGGGAGCTTGCTGAAGCCATCATGGTCTGCCTCTTTATATGATTTGATATTGACTGTTGTCTGTGAGCCATCAATAAGTTATCATATTTATTTATTTTATGTTTGCTTACTGTGTCCTAGCTTCTTGTTTTGTTTTGATATGCCCAAATAGGCTGCTTATGTGCACTAGCCCGATCACTGGCGCCCCTAAAGCTGCAACATCCTGCCACCAGGTGGCCAGAACTGCCACTAAGTATGTGAGCCCAGTAGTCCCCCCACTCCTTCTGTATGGATTCGGCTCAGGTGTCCAGGTAGTCAGCCAGCAAGTGTGTGGTACAGGCTCTCGCCTACAGTTGTAGAAAGGCATGGGTGATTGGTGTAGCCACAAGCATCTGGCTGCAGCAGGGGGTCACATGCTAAGCAAGGCAGGGGCTGATGGCCGCCTCCAAGTGTCTGGGAGGAAAGTGTGTCCCTGTTTCCTAAGGTGCTTGGGTGGATGGGTTTTGCAGCCAGACTATGAGCACCCATTGTTGTTGGCTGTAAGGACTAGGGGGCCCCACTTATTCTTGGGTCCCTGTCGCTGGTGTCTAGGTGGCGTGGATGGAGCCACCAGTCCTCAGGCCCCTGATGTGGGTAGGTGAAGACCCTGCTTAATGGGCAGAGCAGTGTCAAATGTCACAAATCTGCCACTTAACAGCTGAAACAGTTGAAGTTAGACTTCAGGTATATACCCTGTTGTACTGTGATAATGAGGGCCTAAGCTGTTGAAATGGGCCCACACAAGTCTATGCAGGGGGAAGGGCACTCTGAGTCCATGGATCCCTTATGCCTGTGCCTAGGCAAAGGAGGTGTGCCTATCCTGAGTTTCTGGCTTAGGGGAGCCAGCAGATTATTTTTTTCTCCTGTTTGTTGATTTGTTCTCTCTCTAAGGCCCGAAGAATGGTTCAGGGGGTGTGATGGGTCCTACTTCCTGCGCATGGTACTCTGCAGTTGCTGAAGCCGTCCCAGATCCAGTGCAGAGCAGGGAGCGGGGAGGTAAATGGGAGAGTGGTTTTTCCCAAAGTGGGTTGTTTTTCATCCACACAGTAGGCCAGATGCAAGTACTTATCTTTTGCCCATCGAGGGTTGTTTCTCACTGGTTCTGGATGGCTGAGTAGACTCTCTGCCGCTGGTTCTCTCCCGGTGTGGAAAATGCCTCTGCGCACCACGAGCGGATCCAGCCTGAAGGGCTCGGGCTCTTGCTGGGTCAGGTCTGGCAACTCCTCACTGCTTCTGAACTGTCTTTCCCTCCCACTGCCACTCAGTCCAATTCCTCAACTTTGCCTTTGATGTTCAGGGCTCCTAGATTGTTATATATAATCAATTCACTTGTTTTTTCAGGTCTTTGTTGTTAGAGGGACTACAGGAAGCATCTGACTACTTTGCCATCTTGCCCCCCCACCCCACAGACACCTTTGGATATTTAAAGTCAGGGGTCATTGTCAGCATCTGAGCGTTAGTGCAGATGCACCCCTCCACAAAGCATCCAGGCACTAAAACATCCCTTTGCTTTGTTCTCTTCACAGCACCTGTCAGTCTTGCACTCAGCATCCATTTGTTCCTTGTTTATTGTCTCATATAAGCGCCACAGAAGTGGAGCGCTTCCTGGCCTATTCACTGTGGGGTCCCCAGCACCGAGAGTAGGGTCTGTCCATGTGGTAACCCTCCAGGAGAACTATCATCTTCCCTTCGTCAGCTATCCCAGGAGCACCTCCTTTTTACCCACTTTCTTCAGTTGAATCCTCCTAAGGAGCCTGTGGTTTAGGCATGCTTGGCTCCTTTTTATAAATAAAGGGCTTGAGGCTCAGAGAGGGAGCCCCTTGTCCAAGGTGGCATGGCTAGTAAGGATGGTGGTGGGATTCAGACTCCGGTCTTTCTCTCTCCTGGGTGTGTCCTGAGCTTGCCCTTGGCGATGCTGGCTAGTAACAAATTAGGGAGGGGGCAGCTACCTCGGGACTAACTGAGCATTGAGTATAGTGGAATCACCCTCCTCCCCCCTCCACTAGCCTTTCTCATTAACTTGTCACAATTCAAATTTAGAAGTTTACCTTAAGGACGAGTCCTCCACATGAACTCCTAAAGGGTACTACAGGGCAGTGGCACGGCCTGATCATTGTGTGCCTCAGTTTTAGCATCTGGAGAATGGAGATGTTTTATTAGTTCACTCATAGCGCTTTTGGGAGCGAATATAGTGACTGTATAGAACAGTGCCTGGAAAATAGTAAGTGTTCAGTAAATACTAGCTGTTATTGTAATCAGCATCCCCCATGCCTCTGTCAGTTTGTCGTACTGTGGGGGCCTGCATGTTGCTGCGATGCTAGAACCTATGCCACCGGTATTCAAATACCAGCAGGGTCACCCATGGTGGACAGGTTTCAGCTGAGCTTCCAGACTAAGACAGACTAGGAAGAAGGACCCAGCAGTCTACTTCCGAAAAGAATTAGCCAGTGAAAAGCTAATGAATAGCTACAGGAATTGATGGAATACCAATTGAGATGTTTCAATAAACGGATGCAATGCTGGAAGTGCTCACTTGTCTATGCCAAGAAATTTGGAAGACAGCTACCTGGCCAACCAACTGGAAGAGATCCATATTTATGCCCATTCCCAAGAAAGGTGATCCAACTGAATGCAGAAATTATCGAACAATATCATTAATATCACACACAAGTAAAATTGTGCTGAAGATCATTCAAAAGCGGCTGCAGCAGTACATTGACGGGAAACTGCCAGAAATTCAAGCCAGATTCAGAAGAGGACGTGGAACCAGGGATATCATTGCAGATGTCAGATGGATCCTGGCTGAAAGCAAAGAATACCAGAAAGATGTTTACCTGTGTTTTATTGACTACACAAAGGCATTCGACTGTGTGGATTATAACAAATTATGGATAACATTGCAAAGAATGGGAATTCCAGAACACTTAATTGTACATAGATCAAGAGGCAGTCATTTGAACAGAACAAGGGGATACTGGATTTCAAGTCAGGAAAGGTGTGCGTCAGGGTTGTATCCTGTCATCATACCTATTCAGTCTGTATGTTGAGCAAATAATCCAAGAAGCTGGACTATATGGAGAAGAACAGGGCATCAGGATTGGAGGAAGACTCATTAATAACCTGCATCATCCAGACAACAAAACCTTGCTTGCTGAAAGTGAAGAGGAAGCACTTACTGATGAAGATCAAAGACTACAACCTTCAGTATGGATTACACCTCAACATAAAGAAAATAAAAATCCTCACAACTGGACCAATAAGCAACATCATGATAAACAGAGAAAAGATTGAAGTTGTCAAGGATGTCATTTTACTTGGATCCACAATCAACACTCGTGGAAGCAACAGTCAAGAAATCAAAAGATGCATTGCATTGGGCAGATCTGCTGCAAAAGACCTCGTTAACGTGTTGAAAAGCAAAGATGTCACCTTGAAGACTAAGGTGTGACTGACCCAAGCCATGATATTTTCAATCGCCTCATATGCATTGGAAAGCTGGATGATGAATAAGGAAGGTGGAAGAAGAATCCATGCCTTTGAATTGTGTTGGCGAAGAATATCGAATATACCATGGACTGCCAGAAGAACGAACAAATCTCCCTGGAAGAAGTACAACCAGAATGCTCCTTAGAAGCAAGGATGGCGAGACTTCGTCTCACATACTTTGGACATGTTATCAGGAGGGATCAGTCCCTGGAGAAGGACATCATGCTTGGTAAGGTAGAGAGAGGGTCAACAAAAAAGAGGAAGACCCTTAACAAGATGGATTGACACAGTGGCTGCAACAATGGGCTCAAGCATAATGACGATTGTGAGGATGGTGTAGGATTGGGCAGTGTTTCATTCTGTTGTACACAGGGACACTATGAGTCAGAACCGACTCGACAGCACCTAACGACAATTATCAGCATGTTGTTTATTGGGGAAGCTTTCTCTAAGTTTTAAGTGAATTCTTGTTACATCCTTTAGAGCACCACTCACCAACTTTATGCCCAGATTTGGAGGTGCTTCCTGTTGGGGGTCCACCGCTCTCTAAGCTTGGACATGGAGTAAATATTAAACCAAAACTAGTTGCCGTTGAGTCAGTTCTGACTCATGGTGACCCCATGTGTGTCAGAGTACAATTGTGCTCCGTAGAGTTTTCAATGGCTTATTTTTAGGAAGTAGATCGCCAGGTCTTTCTTCCAAGGTGCCTCTGGGTGGACTTGAACCTTCAACCTTTTGGTTAGCAGCAGATCTTGTTAACCATTTGCACCACCCAGGTGACTGTTACCATGTTCGAGCTAGTTGAGGATTCAGATTGAATGTGTGACTCTCGTAGGGTCATAACATAATTTATGGACCCCCCCCACTAGAGCAGGCACAACTCCAGGCCACCCCTAAAGTCACCCAGTTGGCAGTAAATCATAGGCCTGGGATTTGAACACGGGACCCCAACCCCAGCTACTCTCTCATCTGCCTAGCTGCACCTGCTCACATGTGCTGAGTGCCCTCCCTTCCCCTTCCTCAGCCGAGAATATCACCAACGTTACCTTGGACGAGCAGCTCTGGTGGCCAAGCTGTGACCAGCAGGATGAAATGCTCAACTTGGGCTTCACGATTGGTTCCTTTGTGCTCAGCGCTACCACCCTGCCACTGGGGATCCTCATGGACCGCTTTGGCCCCCGACCGATTCGGCTGATAGGCAGGTGAGCTGGCTGGGCTGTGGGGGCTGGAGGGCAGGGAGGGTGCTGCCGGGGGAGGGGGACTCAGACTGTTCCCAGGTCAACCCGTCCACCTTCTTATTGTCCCCACAGCGCCTGCTTTGTGGCATCCTGCACCCTCATGGCCTTGGCCTCTCGGGACCCCGAAGGTGAGATGTCTGGCTTCTCGTGCCCCCATGAGAAAAGAAAGGGTGGGATGAAGATGGCTGTTTACCCCAGCTCCTGCTCTCGGCCTCCCCCAGCTCCCCAAATGCCCTTATCTGCCTCTCTCCCCCTTCCCAGTTCTGTCTCCGTTGATATTCCTGGCGCTGTCCCTGAATGGCTTTGGTGGCATCTGCCTAACGTTCACTTCACTCACTGTGAGTATGACCGCCAGGCCTGGCAGCCACCCAGGAGTGGGTGGGGGGAGGGGGGAGTGGGGGAGAGAGTAGGGGAGGGGCCCAATTGCACAGGTGTGAAATTGTGCAGCGGGCAGCTCAGGGTGAGTCTGAGGCTGTATGTGTGTGGATGAGACTGTGTGTCGGAGTGTGGGTGCTGGGGGGCATGGGGAGAGAGTGTGTGTGCACTATTGGGGGAAACAGCACAAACAAGACTAACAAATGTCCTTACCTCCCTGGAGCCTATACCTGGGGGTAGGGGAGTAGGTGCCCAATAAACAAGTGAACGAATAAATTATGTCAATAGTCATGAGTGCTGGGAAGAAAATAAAACAGGATAATGTGATAGTGCCGGGGAGGGGACAGCTTGAGACTGTGTGTGTGTTTGCCGTGCTGTGGGAGAGTGTATGTGTGACACTGACGCCTAGTGACCCTATAGGACTGCGTAGAACTGCCCCATACGGCTTCCAAGGAGCAGCTGGTGGATTCAAACTGCCGACCTTTTGATTAGCAGCCAAGCTCTTAACCACTGTGCCACCAGGGTTCTTTGTGAAAGAGCAGGAGTGGGCATTTGTGATCATTGGAGGGCATTGGGTCAAACCACATGAAGTTGCCGACACTTGACTGTGTTTGACCTACAAAAACGGTGCTTTCATGTGGCTCGACCGGTTACGTTTGTGTGAGTTGTGTATGTGTGTTATTATAAGGGTAAATGTTTATGTCTGTGAGCGTGTGAGTAAAAGGGTTAAGGACTTACGAATGTGTGTGTGTGTCCCTGGCTGGACTGGCCTGGGACTGTTTATCTCCCCTGAGGGCCGCCTGACAGCCAAACTGGATGTTTTTGGCTGAATTTCACCTCACCCCAGCAGCTGCGTTCAATTCCTGCTGGGGACATTTCACAACTCGGGGGAGGCAGATCCCTTCCGCCCCGCCCCCTCCGCTGCCTCTTCTCCACAATGTGCACCTTGGCTCCGGGCCCCAGAATCCCTCCCCTGCCAAGCGAGGCAAGAACTCAGACCCTGTAGCCCACTGCCCTGCCCCTCCCCATGCCCGTATCTCCAGCCAATGGCAGGGCCCCACGCTGGCCCGGCCCCCGGGTCGCTGCTCTCCTTGCTGGGCACGTTCAGTGCTGCGGCCACCTGGGCTGTTGGCTCTTGGCTGGGGTCGCGCGCTGCTGCCCTGGGTCATCTTGGGGTGAGCTGGGCCAGCCTCTGCTGGGTGGAGACAGCTCCGGCAGACACTTCCCCTGTGGGCTGGTCGCTGGCCCTGGCCCTGGCCCCCTTCCCCTGGTGTCCTTGGCAGCGTGCCTTACAGATATAAGGTGTCAGGGAAACCTGCCCGAGTCTGGGCCAACCTGACTCCACCCCTCTTTCAGAGCCACTTGTAGATGGGGGGTGGGGGGCGACTCTTTAATTCTCTGTGTTTGCCCACCTTCCAAGGTCCTTGGGTGGCACAAACGGTTTGCACTCGACTTCTAACCTAAAGGATGGCAGTTTGAACCCACCCAGCAGCACCATGGAAGAAAGGTCTGGCAATCTACTTCCGTAAAGATTGCAGCCAAGAAAACCCTATGGAGCAGTTCTACTCTGTCACACATGGGGTCACCAGAAATCGGAATCAACTCAACGGTGACGAGTTTAGGGTTTCTTTATCTTTTTTTGTGCCCACTTTCCTTCCCAGAGTTATTTCTTTGAAAGTCTCCACCCTCACGCATAAGAACAAGAGATGTGGAAAGGGGTTAGCTTTTTTCCCTCCGTATCCCAAAATTTCCTAGCCTTAAGAATTCAGGCAGTTAACTTTTCTGTTTCTCATTGGTAAAACTGTAATACCCACCTTACATTTCTGTGAAGATTAAATGAAGTAAGATCTATAATATGGTGCCTAGTAATTAGCAAACAGTGAATAAACGTTAGTTCTTTGTATCCCTGCCGCTTTTTCCCATCTCAGTAACAGCACCAGAGTTTAACGTTTTATTGGCAGTTTATTAAGCTGTATTATTTGAGGGTCTTTAGCCATAATTGGTCAAAAATCTAATAAAGATGAGATGCCTGGGGTGAGAGTGTAAGTTAGACAAAAAATTTGGATGGAAGTAAAGTTCTTAAAAGGCCCCCCATTGAAGGTTCCCAGCAGCTCAGAAGAGTGATAGCAGTCTTAGAACTTGAGGATTCTGCAGGTCATAAAATGTTGTTGCGTGTCAAGTCGATTTCAACTCATAGTGACCCCGTGTGACAGAATAGAACTGCCCCCTAGGGTTTTCTAGGCTGAAATCTTCACAGGTGCAAATCAACAAGTCTTTCTCCCGGAGAGGGTGTTGGTTTTGGATGACGTCTGAGGCCCTTCCCAGCTATGGAATCTGGTGACCTAGGAAGGATAGTGGGGCCAGAGGGAACGTTTCACAAAGGGCATCATGACTTTGACTTTTTCTCCCCTGAGGGCCTGGCTCAGGCCAGCTGAGCAGAACATGCGATCAATTAGTTCTCGGTCTGGTCTGCACATCAGAGCCACCTCCCCTGGAAACCTGGCCTCCCTTAGTCCCACCCTCATCTCCCGGGTCCTTCCCATGACTGGTCCTGGCTCAGCAGAAAATGTGGGTGGGGGCCTTTGGGACCATCAGGAGGATGAAGGGCCACCACCAGAGGAGTCCCTGGGTGGCACACACGGTTAAGTACTTAACTATTAGCTGACAGGTTGGTGGTTCAAACCTACCCAGAGGCGCCTCGGGAGAAAGGCCTGGTGATCTGCTTCCAAAAGGTCACAGCCTTGAAAGCTCTACGGAGCAGTTCTACTCTGCACATGTGGGGCCACTGTGAGTCAGAATTGACTCTGACAGCAGCTGACAACAATACTGCTACATGGCCAGCCGTGGTCACAGCTTGGGCACCTGGGATGGGGCCAGGATGGTTAGAACCTGGGGAAAAAATCATTAACTTGCTCTGTGACCTTGAATACCTTTCTTTCCCTCTCTGGGCCTTCATTTTCTCATCAGTAAGATGAGTTGGACTCAATCAGTATTTTTTAAACACCTGGTCCGTGGGTTAGGAAGAAATGGCACACAATAAAGGAGTCCATAAACAAAAAACCAGGGCAACCCTGGGATTAAAACAAACAGAACTTCTTTTTGAGGGCACTTCTGGAAGCCTTTTGGAGCCCTGGTGGTACAAAGGTTAAGAGCTCGGCTGCTAACCAAAAGGTCAGCAGTTTGAATCCAGCAGCCACTTCTTTGAAACCCTATGGGGCAGTTCTGCTCTGTCCTGTAGGGTCGCTATCAGTCAGAATGGACTTGACAGCAACGGGTTTGGTTTTTTGGTTTCTGGAAGCCTTTAGATGTTAAAGTGTGTTGGTGTCATTCTAGGTGGGGGGTCAGAGTAGAGTTTCCCACGTTGCTTTTGCCTGAGAACTTTGCTGTTGCATCTCGGGGCTAGTGTTCCTGGAGTTCACTTTGAGGAATGCTGGGCTAGATGCTCCCAAGCTTTCTCAGGTGGAGCTGGGGAAGGTGATCCCTGGGCTGATGCCAGGGCTGCTCTGCTCACTGGCTCTGCTCTCCTCCTCCAGCTGCCTAACATGTTTGGGAACCTGCGTTCCACTTTCATGGCCCTCATGATTGGCTCCTACGCCTCTTCCGCCATCACTTTCCCCGCTATCAAGGTATGGAGCTACTTGGGGGGTCTCTTGGGGTTTCTTTTGGTCTTGATACAGGACTGGGTGGGATTAGTCAGTCATAAAGAGAAATGAAGTCCTGATACATGCTACAACGTGGATAAACCTGGAAACCATTATGTTGAGTGAAATAAGTCAGTCACAAAAGGATGACTATTGTATGATCCCACTTATATGACATAGAAAAATATAGAGAGACCAAAGCTTGCTATTGGTCACCAGGGATGGGATGGAGAAAGAAAAGGAGGGTCATTATTAAGGGGCACAGAATTTCTGTTAATGGTGGTGGAATAATATGGAAACGGATGGTGGCGGTGGCTGTACGACATGGTGAGTGTCATTAATGTCACTGAATTGTACATGTAAAAATTGAATTGGCAAATGTTTGCTTATCTATATTTTTGTTGTTAGGTGCCATCGAGTCGATTTTTGACTTGTAGCGATCCCAAGTAACAGTAGAACTGCCACCTAGGGTTTTCTAGGCTGTATTCTTTATGGGAACAGATTGCCAGGTCTTTCTCCTGCAGAGCTGCTGGATGAGTTCAAAGCACCAACCTTTCAGTTAGCAGAGTTTTAACTGTTTGCTCCACAAGGGCTCCTTTCCGTATTTTTACCAGAATTAAAATTAAAAAAAGAGCTGGGTGGGACTGGGAGTGATGGCTGGTATGTCTCGTGACATGGTTCCTATGAGTTAGAGGTTGGTGTCCACCATCATGGAGAAAAGCACTGAGGCATCATGGGACGAGCCCAGTCCTGCTACTGACTAGTGGGTTGGCCTTCTCCGCAGCCTGCTCTTGTGTTCTCTGTTCAGGCCTTCATCCTCTCTCCTGGGTCAGGGCAGGCTTTATCAGCTGGTCTCTCTGCCTCTGATCTTATCCTTCTCTAGTCCGTCATTGAGTCCCTGGCAGGTGCACATGGTTAATGTGCTTGCTGCTAACCGAAAGGTTGGCAGTTTGAGCCCACCTAGAGGTGCGTTAGAGGAAAGGCCTGGAGTTCTATTTAAAAAATCAGCCATTGAAAACCCTATGGAGCATAGTTCTACTCTGACACACATGGGGTTGCCATGAATCAGAATCCACTTGATGGCAGCTGGTTTGGTTCTTTTGGTTTAGTCTGTCGTTTACATGGCTTCTAGAATGATCTTTCTAAGACAGAGGACAGCACACACACCCACTGAAAAGCCTTCAGTTGTTCTGCTTCACTGACAGAAGGAAGTCCAACCTCTTCTCATGCATTCAAGGTCCATGACCCTGGCCCCAACCACCCTTTTGGGCTACATCTCCTTGCACACCTCCCAGAGAGGCTGGGTGACTTGGGTCCAAGGACACAAAGCTGGTTCGTGCCAGGCTAGATCCTGGACAAATCCACCTTGTGGACCAAGAGCCAGCTTGGTGCAAGCTGGAGTCTCCATTTCTTCCTCTTCCAATGAAATCAAAGCACCATTTCAGCTGGGCTGTGATCTACCCCTCAGAGTCCATGAATTTGGGCGGTTCGTTTGTTAGTTTAGAGGGCGCTTGCTCAGCACCCCCAAGGAGTTTGAGAGTCTGCATGGGTGAGGCCCGTTGTTCAGGTAGCAGTAGGCATGGAGGGTGCCAGTTCTCCTTCCCTTTAATTAAGGGAGTGGAGTTTGAGGACCCAAATCTTAACCCACAAATTTGAGAGTGTGGCACTTTGAGGCCATGCCCACCTCTGGGGAGGAAAGAGTCTGTGGACCTCCCTGAGCTGCCTAGCGCAGGCTGCCTGCGGCTCCAGACAGGAGTCTGACAGGAGGGCAGACATCATCCCAGGCAGAGGGTGTTGGAGAGGGGACAAGAGGAAGGGGCATCTCTGTGCAGCAGGCTTTCCTCGGTACGCTTGAACGGAATCCAAATCAATACAGAACCTGCTTGTCCTGGGATTTGCTGCACCTGGGAGCACCTGTGAAAGGCAAGATAAGACTTCTCACACTGGGTTTACCTTTCCTCCGCGAACTTTGAACTCTTCAGAAAGGGGCAGCATAAACATGGCTACTCCTGGTTAACCTCAAGCATTAGTTTTCCTCTTTTGTAAATAATGTGAAATGATATTTTTTGCGTGTGCAAACAAACGTGGAAGTTTATGGAGTCAGGGCAAAACGCGTCCATTTTACAGATGACAGTTGAGACTTCACACACATCTGAGCTTGTGGCCAGCTGCTTCAGCACTTTGTGGGGACTGATTTCACACTTCTTCAGGGGGGCTTGGTTGAAAAGGAAGAGAGGAGGTGGGTCTTCTAGGTGTGCCTCTAACTTCGGGCCTTGGGTTCCTCACCTGTAAATTGGACAAAGGAGTGGGGTAGAAGAGACCGTCTGTAAGGCCTCTGAGGCCCAGGTTCTCCCATGGGCTGGAAGGGGCTGGAAGAGATGATATCAAACAGAATCAAAGCATGCTTTCAGCTGGACCATGGTCTGCTTCTCAGACTCCATGAGCTTGGACAGTTCATTTGTTAGTTTAGAGGGCATTTGCTCAGCGCCCCCAAAGCCCAAAGGAGTTTGAGAATGTGCGTGGGTGGGCCGCAGCCCACCCACAGGCCCGTCCTTCCTCCCACAGCTGATCTACGATGCTGGTGTGGCCTTTGTGGTCATCATGTTCACTTGGTCTGGCCTGGCCTGCCTCATCTTCCTGAACTGTGCCCTCAACTGGCCCAGCGAAGCCTTTCCAGCCCCTGAGGAGGTCAATTACATGTGAGTGTGGGGGTGCTGTGGTGAGGAGGGGCTCTCCCTGCTGCAGTAGGGGAGGCCAGGGGACTGCAGTGTGATGGACAGAATCAGCTTTGGAGTCAGAGAGCCCCTGGATTGGGTTCTCTTCTTAGCAGATCTGAGCTCGAAGCTCTGCTTTCTCATCTGTGTGTACCTGCAGGTGTTTTTAAGGACTAGAGCTGGCACATAGTAGGTGCTCAAAACATAATGACTGTTGTGGTGGTTGTTGTCCGTATGGGGTTTTGGAGGAGATGGTCAGAGTAGAAGGAACCCCAGCAACAGTGTAGATACCATATAGACACAGAAGGGGGATAGCCAAGTACATCGGGGTGCTGGTCTAGGAGCTGACATTTATTGAGTGCCTGCTGTATGCCAGGCACTGTGCTTTGCCCCCTGCCATTCTCAAGGAGCCCTGTGATGTGAATTCTGTTATGAACTCCATTTTATAGGAGAAGAAAACAAAGGGTCCGGGAGCAAAGGGACTTTCCTAAGATCGTGCCATTGTAAGGGGGTGACTCTTTAAGGCTGGAACGAGGCTATCTGAGTTCTTAATGTGGCTTCCTCCCTGGGAATGACCAAAAGGAAAATGACCCATCTGCCCTTCACTTACTGGGCACCTCAGCTAAGCCTCTGAGTGGCCCATGCGGGGCCTGCACTAGACGTGGCTGTGCTGGGTCAAGGGGGTCTCAGAGCCCCTGGGACGGCCGGCCCTGTGTAGCTGGGTTCCCACATGCTCTGGTCTGGCTGCTGGCAGGATGTTCAAGCTCAAGGGGCTGGCCCTGGACCACAAGGTGACGGGTGAGCGCTTCTACACCCACATGACCATCGTGGGCCAGCGGCTGAGCCAGAAAGCCCCTAGCCTGGAGGAAGGGGGCAACATCTTCATCTCGTCCCAGGACGTCCGCGGCCCCTCGGAGACCCCTTCCGAGAGTGAGTGTCTGGCCGAAGTGCCCACCTTGGGGGACAAGGGGGTGGGTCCTTACGCCAAGCGAGCACTGGTGTGAGAGTGCTCCCTCTCACCCTCTTCAGTGCTCACAGAACCCCCAGGATGGAGGTGGTGGCGTGCTCCCCATATATTGTTGCTAGGTGCTGTCGAGTTGATTCGACTCTTAGTGACCCCATGTGACAGAGTAGAACTGCTCCATAAGGTTTTCCAAGCTGTAATCTTAACGGGAGCAGATCGCCAGGTCTTCCACAGAGCCCCTGCATGGGTTCGAATCGCCAGCTTTTTGGCTAGCAGCCGAGCCCTTAACAATTGCATCACCAGGGCTCCTTATGCTCACTTTTTACAGACGGGGAAATCAAAGCTCTGAGAACTCTGGAAAATTCAGATTCAGGGGTACCCTGCTGAATTCCTGGGATGGAGGAGGGTGGAGCTGCCAGAATGGGCTCTCCAGGCCTAGGGAGCACCTGGTTTCAGTTCCTTCAGACACCCCTGCAGGGTCGGAGCGTCTTATGGCAGATGCAGTGGGGAGAGCGGCTGGCGCCCCCTGCTGGCCACAGGAGAACTGCTTTGGGCCAGTTTCCAAGGTGCCTGAGACCCCCCAGACTATCAGCTTCATGACTTAGTGGAAGGAGCACGGGTCCTGAAGTCGGGAGATGAGTTCTGAGCCTTGGCTCCCCACTTTCAGACCATGTGACTTGGGTCGATCTCTGACCCTTGTTCTCACCGTTCAACATTTCCTCATCTCCTAAACCGACATGAATAGCCTGACACTGACAAGTTCAGAGGGAAGTCTTTGTAAGGGTTGAATGACTTCACGGACACACGAGGTCTGTGTGAACTGCAAAGTGGTGGTGCACAGTTATGAGGGGGTGTTATCTCCACTGTTGACCCACCTGGCAAAGTCGCTAAAGGCGGAGCCCAAGCCGGGCGCACCTGCCGCTCCAGCCATCATTTAACCCCTCGGACCTGCAGTTTCCTCATCTGTACCATGGAGTAAGTGGGTGGTTTTAAGATTTGACTGAATGGGATAATACATGCCAGGTATGCAGCACATAAAAATACCAAACCAGACCAGCTATTGAGTTGATTTCTATCTCATGGCGACTGCATGTGTGTCAGAGTAGAACTGTGCTCCATGGGGTTTTCAGTGGCTAATTTTTTTGAAACTAGATCGCCAGGCCTATCTTCCAAGGTACCTCTGGGTGGACTCAAACTGCCCACCTTTAGCTAGCAGCCAACCGCTTAACTGTTTGAACCACCCAGCAACTCCATGTAGTGCATAGTGCTTAATGAACAGTAGCAAGAGGGAGACCTGGGTTTGATTCCTGGCCAGTGTAGCTTATGCACAGCTACTATTCGTCTGTCAGCGGAAGCATCTATGTTGCTATGATGTCCAGACTAAGACAGACTAGGAAGAAAGGCCTGGTGATCTACTTCCAAAAAAAAATCAGTGAAAACCCTGCAAATCACTATGGTCTGATCCTCAGCCAGTCACGAGGGTGGTGCAGGACTGTTCCGTTGTGCATTATGTCACCATGATTTAGGGGTCATCTCAGTGGCAGCTAGCACCAGCAAAGCACAGGTCACCTGAAAGTGTTCTGCTGAGACAGTCATAGAGCTGGGCAAGAACCTGGAGGTCAATGAGTCTGAACCCTTCGTTTTACAAAGGAAGAAACCAGCCCCGAGGGGAGACATCCCTCTCCAAAGTCATGGAGTTGGTGCTAGAGCCTCCATTAGAATGGTGTGGGCTGGGACAAGCAGGGGAAAGGAAGGCCTGGGCCTCAGGGGCGCCCCCTGCTGTCTCCCCAGGGTCCATCCCCTTCCGCAGGAGCCTCTGCTCCCCCATCTTCCTGTGGAGCCTCCTCACCATGGGCATGACCCAGCTGCGGATCATCTTTTACATGGCCGCCATGAACAAGATGCTGGAGTACATTGTGACCCATGGCCAGGAGCATGGTGAGGCACTGCTGAGCCCACTGGGGGCTGGGGAGGCACAGGGGAGCCACCCTGGCTGAGCTTCTCTCACCTCGGCTTCCTCTCCCCCGGCAGAGATGAATGACGTGAGACAATTGGCAGCAGAGACAGGTAGGGGTGAAGGCTGGGCCCTTGCCCACTCCATAGGGGGCAGGAGTCCTCTGGGCCTGGACTTTCCCTTGTCACCCTGGGCATTTGGGGAACTAGGAATCTGGGGTCAGAAGAAGACTCTTTTGGAACTCCCTCTCCTCCACTGGAAGTGGGTGGGACTGCCCAGTGGGCTGCTAGCATCCATCAGGCCAGCCCCTGACCCCACTTTCCTTCCTGTTCTGCCTAGTTGGGTTCTACTCCTCTGTCTTTGGGGCCATGCAGCTATTGTGCCTCCTCACCTGCCCCCTCATTGGCTACATCATGGACTGGCGGATCAAGGACTGTGTGGACAACCCCACCGAGGGCGTTGCTCTCAGAGATGCCAGGTACCTGGACAGGGGTGGTGAAGGCAAGAAGTCAGACGGGGTTTCATTTTCTGTGTGCTTTCACATCCAGCATCTCATTTCATTCTCCCAAGAGCCTTGGGGGAGCTCATTTTACAGATGAGGAAACTGAGGCTAAGAGGGTACACAGCTTGATTTTCTTGATAGTAAGAATAGCTAACCTGGAGTGCCGACCGTGCACTAGGCACCTTGCATTGTCTCATTCAGTCTCCACAACAGCTTTCTGAGGTAGCGACATCATTATCCCCATTTTGCAGATGGGGAAGCTGAGACACAGAAAGGTTAATAAGTCACTTACCCAAGCTCCAGAAGCCATGTTATAAAAACTATACTCTAGGGTCTTCTTAAGGCTGGGAAGAGATAGAGCTGGTGAATAAAATATCTATTGCTTATAACAAATTACCCCAAAACCTGGCATCTTAAAAGAACAAACATTTATTCTGTCACACCGTTTCTGAGGGTCAGGCAGGAGTCTGGGAATGACTATTGAGCTGGTGGTTCCGTTTCAGGGGCTGTCATAAGGTTTCAGGGCTACAGTTATCTGAAGTATTGACTGAGGAAGAACTTGCTTCAGAGTGCACTTAATGGCTATTGGCAGAAAGTTCAGCTCCTTCCCACAAGGACATTTCCATAGGGTTGCTTGCAATATGACAGCTAGCTTCCCCCAGAGCAAGAGATGAGTTAGAGAGAGAGGGAGAGAGAAGGAATCCAAGATGGAAGCCGCAGTGTCTTTTATAACCTAATCTCAGTAGTGACATACCATCACTTCTGCCAAATTCTATTGGTCAGAGACCAACCCTGGTATGGTGTTGGGTGGGGGGAACCCACAAGGGTGTGAATACCAGGAGGCAGGGACTATGGGGGCCATCATGGAGGCTGGTTACCATAGTCGAGGCTTGAACCCAGGTCTTCTGGCTACTTCTGCTCTTTTTGTGTTAATACAAATAGTCCCTGTTTGTCCTGAGGTGATGGAAGAGGCAGGCTAGGAGAGAAGGCATCTACAGAACCATCTAGTGGCTTCCCTCCCTGCCACCAGTGCCCCAGCCCTGGCACCCAGGCTTCCTCCTCTGCACTCTGCTCCCGATGGCCAGTGTCCATTAGCAAGGCCTTCCTGGCTAGGACAGATGGGCAGCCTGCCCTCATCCCAGCCTACTGACCCCTCCACGGGGCCCGCCTCAGCATGTCTTGATCATACCAGAGAGAAGGGGCTGCTGGGAAGTCAGGGGCCAAGCTACTGTTCCAAGAACAGCCTCTGCTCTTGTCAGGTGGGATGGTGGGCCGAGACACCTTCCTGAGGCTTCCAATGAGAGACAGGGTGAGAGCTCCCCAGTCTCCACCTTTCTTCCCTTTATGAGAAACACCTGAGGTGCTTGTCAAAATGCAGATTCCTGGCCTCTACCCCGGAGATTCTGAAGTCTGGGGTGGAGCCTGGGAACCTGCATTTTTAAGAAAGCCCCCTCCCCCACCCCCAACAGGTAATGCTGGTGTAGTTGGTTGGGGGAACCATGCGTGGAGAAACACTGAGCTAGAGAAATGGTTTTCTCCCTTTTCTGCTGCCCCCTCAGCCTTCAGGGCAAAGGCACGCCGGCAGCGGGAGGGGCCAGGCTGCAGCCTGTGACTGCCTTCCTCCTCAGGGACGGGATCACCGTCAAGTCCACCAAACGGCGCTACCGCAAGATCCAGAAGCTCACCAACGCTATCAGTGCCTTCACCCTGACCAACTTTCTGCTTGTGGGTTTTGGCATCACCTGCCTCATTACAAACCTACATCTCCAGGTACCCACCTCCCCCTCCCTCCTTCCCCCTCTCTGCCTCGGTAGAGTTGATTCCAACTCACATCGACCCTATAGGACAGAGTAGAACTGCCCCATAGGGTTTCCAGGGCTGTAATCTTTACGGAAGCAGACTGCCACATCTTTCTCCCGTGGAGCAGCTGGTGAGTTCAAACCATTAACCTTTCAGTTTGCAGTCAAGTGCTTAGCCACTGCGCCACCAGGGCTCCTTCTCTGCCTCCAGGGCTCCCCATAGGGACGGCCCACCATCGCCTGCCTTTCAGAACTCAAGGTTCTCGTCCTCCGTGTCTGCCTGTTTTCTGGATTCTCCAGGAAGTGCTTCTAGGGGGTTGGATTGGCGAGGGGGTAGGAGTGTGTGGACAGGCTCAGGGAGGCCCCATTCCCCTCTTTGCCCCACCCCTCCTTCCTCCTGCCTGCATACCCTCTAGTAACCCCCTCACTCTTTTTGGTTTCAGTTGGTGACCTTTGTCCTGCACACTGTTGTTCGGGGTTTCTTTCACTCCGCCTGTGGAGGCCTCTACGCTGCCGTGTGAGTCAGCTCAGGCATGCTTCCGTGGGCCTTTCCCCACAACCAGAGAATCCCAGAGCAGAGGTGAAAGGGCCTTGGACACCCTTAATCCCCTCCACACCTGTGGAGGTACCCCCTCTTCAGCATCCCTGGTCAATCCTCGGTGCCAATACTGATGCCTCAGAGCTGGTGGGGGGCTGTCCGCCCGGGCCCTCTCCCAGCTCCTCTAGCAATGGAGAACTCACTTCCTCTAAGGCGGCCTGTCCCACTATGGGGTGACCCACTGCCGAAGTTCCTTCTGAGAGGAACCTGAAATACTTGGCGTCTTAGTTTCTTAATGCTGCTATAACAGAAAAACTACAAGTGGGTGGTTTTAACGAACAGAAATTTATTTTCTCACAGTTTAAACCAAACGTGTTGCTGTCGAGTTGATTCCTACTCATAGTAACCCTATAGGACAGAGTAGAACTACACCATAGAGTTTCCAAAGTTGTAGTCTTTAGAGAAGCAGACTGGTGGGTTAAGCAGCCAAGCGTTTAACCACTGTGCCACTAGGGCTCTCGCACAGTTTAAAAAAAACAAACCCACTGCCATAGAGTCGATTCCGACTCATAGAGACCCTATAGGACACAGTGGAACTGCCCCATAGGGTTTCCAAGGAGCAGCTGGTGGATTCGAACTGCCAGCCTTTTGGTTAGCAGCCGAGCTAGGAGGCTACAGTTCCAAATTTAGGGCACCAGCTCTAGGGGGGAGCTCGCCCTGTCTTTTCTGGGGAGAAATCCTTGTCTCAGTTCTTCTGGAAGTTCCTTGGCCATCTCCATTCTTTCCATTCGGTCTGCTTGCTTCTGTGCCAAATCTGCTCTTTTTATATCTCAGAAGTGGTTAGGTTAAGACATACTCTACATTGATATGCCCTCATTAACATAACAAAGATAACCTTATTGCCAAATGGGATTACATCTAGAGGGGTTAGGATTTTTTTTGTAAATTTTTTGTTATTGTGGTTGAGAATATACACAGCAGAACATACGCCAGTTCAACAGTTTCTATGATTCGGTGACACTGATTACGTTCTTTGAGTTATGCAACCCTTCTCACTCTCCTTTTCTGAGTTGTTCCTCCTCCGTTAGCATAAACTCACTGCCCCCTAAGGTTCCTGAGTTGCTATTGTCACTTTGATCCCATATAGATAGTTCTTCAAAGAACCTAATGCTCAAGGCAGACATTTTTTACTGATTAAGCTAAACTATTGGAGATATTTTTGGATTAAGTTATAAAGATTATTTCAGGGCAATAGTTTCAGGGGTTCATTCAGCCCCTAAGAGGGGTTAAGATTTACAACACATATTTGTGTGGGACACAATTCAATCCATAACACTTGGTTAGATGACACTTTGGTCCTATGTCTACTCTGGAATGGCCCAAACGGTAGCCTCTCCTCCCCCCCGCCGCCACCAGCTCTGTAGAAATTTGTAGACATCAGTCCTTTTTGCCTTATAACTTACAACTTTGTGACTGGAGCAGAGGGAGCGAGGGAGAGAGAAGAAGGGAGAGGGCAGAGAGGTACCAGGCCTAGATCTTGCAGGACCTTTGTGGTTAGCTGCCCTTGAGTCAACCCCTGACTCATGGCAACCCCATGCACACCAGGTTTGGACCATTGTGATCTGTAGGGTAGGTTTTCATTGGCAGATTTAGTCTTAGTCTGGAGGCTGAAACCTGTTCAGCATCATAGCAGCACGCAAGCCTCCACAGACAGACGGGTGGGGGTTGCGCATGAGGTGCTTTGACCAGGAATCGAACCCTGGTCTCTCACATGGAAGGTAAGAATTCTACCACTGAACTACCACTACCCCCTTGTACAACCTTTGGGCCATAGCAAAGCCTTTGGCTTTTATCTGGGTGGAACAGGAAGCCGTGGAGTACTCTGAGCAAAGGAGTGACGTGATGAGAATTATTCTCATGCCTTATAGCTTCCCTACTTCACGCCAAACAGCCTCAGTTCCCTTTCTCTTCCACTGCCAGGCCCTGCTGAGGGGCTCCTCCCGTGTGTGTGATGCAGAGTAGGACATCACAGTGGTGATGGTAAAATCATAAAAATTATAACCGTTACCCAGTGTTCACTCCAGGCAGGCACTGCGCTACTCAATTATCTAAGCCTCACTGTAGCCTTCACAGCCGAGGGCAGCTTCATTCCTTCAGGCGCCCAAGCCACACCCAGCCCACCAGCAATCCTGTGGCTTCACATTCCAAGGGCCCAAATCCCCCAAATCTGACCCTTTCTCATCACCCCCCACTGCTGCTATCCTGGTTTGAGCCCCCAGCATCCCCAGCCTGGGTTATTGCACAGCCTCTGAATGGTCTCCCCGCTCTGCCCTGGCCCCCCTTCAGTCTTTTTTTTTTAATTGTACTTTAGATGAAGGTTTACAGAACAAAGAATTTCTCATTAAACCGTTAGTACACATATTGTTTTCTGACAATGGTTAACAACCCCACAACATGTCAACACTGTCCCTTCTCAACCTTGGGTTCCCTATTAACAGCTTTCCTGTCCCCTCCTGTCTTCTAGTCCTTGTCCCTGGACTGCTGTGCCCCATTAGTCTTGTCTTGTTTTATGGGGCTGTCTAACCTTTGGCTGAACAGTGAACCTCGGGAGTGACTTCTACTGAGCTAAAACGGTGTCCGGGGGCCATGCTCTCGGGGTTTCTCCAGTCTGTCAGGCCAGTAAATCTAGTCTTTTTTCAATCTATTTTTAACAGGCGCTGGAGTCACCTGTTAAGACATAACTCTCTTCATGTCAATCCTCTGCTCAGAACACTCCACGGCTTCCTGTCTCACTCAAATAAGAGCTAAAGGCTTTGCTATGGCCTAAAAGGCCCTATAAGGTACCACGGCCCTGGTACCTCTCTGCGCTCTTCCTTCCTCTCTCCCCGTCTTAGTTTCTAGTGCTGCTGTAACAGAAAGACCACAAGTGGGTAGCTTTAATAAACAGAAATTTATTTTCTCACAGTTTAGGAGGCTCAGAGTCTAAGTTCAGGGCACCAGCTCTAGGGGACGGCTTTCTCTCTCTCTCTGCTCTGGGGTAAGGTCTTCGTCTCTTTTCAGCTTCTGTTCCTCGGTTCCCTGGCGATCTTCCTGTAGTGTGTATCTTCCCCTGCATTTGTGCTTCCTTCTGTGTGCCTGATATGCTCTTCGTAAATCTCAGAGGTGATTGGTGTAAGACACACTCTACACTGATGTTGTTTCATTAGCATAAAAAAAAAAAACCAAACATGTTGCCATTGAGTTGATTATGACTCATAGCGACCCTATAGGACAGAGTAGAACTGCCCCATAGGGTTTCCAAGGCTGTAATCTTTACGGAAGCAGACTGCCACATCTTTCTCCCACAGAGAGGCTGGTGGTTTCGAACTGCCGACCTTTCGGTTAGCAGCTGAGTGCTAATTGTGCCACCAGGGCTCCTTAACTTGCTGTTTTCACACATAAAGTAGGTGTCAGAACCCAGCTCGGTGGCCCCAAAGTAACAGTGTATACCCTCAAGGTCAAGGGACCTGGTGTTGGGCAGCTGAGGCCTAAGCCACCAGAGTGCATGCTGAGAAATATCTGGGGGAGGGTCAAGAGGGGCACAGGGCTTCAGGGTGCTGGGGCTGGAGAGGGCCACTCACCCCTGATGCTTGGGCCCTCCTCCTTGACAGCTTCCCGTCCAACCACTTTGGGACGCTGACGGGCCTGCAGTCCCTCATCAGTGCTGTGTTCGCCCTGCTGCAGCAGCCGCTCTTCATGGCCATGGTGGGACCCTTGGAAGGAGACCCCTTCTATGTGAGAATGGGGTGTGGCATGGGGCGGGGAGCCGGAGCTACTTTGTGGGGTGCAGTGGGTGAGTCGGGGGCTAGTTTGTGATAGACTCCCTCTCTCATCACATAGCAACCCAAAAGAGTCCCAGAAGCTTCTCCCTGTGGGGTCCCAAGCTGGCTACCCAACAGAACCCCTCAACAGGGGGTTAAAAAGTGAGATTCCCTAGCCCATTGAATCGGCCTCCCTTTGCCCTGGGCCCAGGAGTCTGTGATGAGCTTTCAGGTGACTTGTGAAGTGGCTCGGTCCTGATCCCAGGGCCTATATTCAGGAACCATCAGTCCAGTCCCACCCAATGCAGGGATTCCCTCTTCAGCACCCCTGGAAGGGGGCTCCTCCCCTCTTAGCTCCAACACTGCAGTGACGGGGTACCCACTCCTGCATAAGGTCAAACCCATTGCCACCAACTCGAGTCTGACTCGTGGTGACCCCATGTGACAGAGTAGAACTGCTCCATAGGGTTTTCTTCACTGTAATCTTAATGGAAGCAGATTGCCAGGCCTTTCTTCCGTGGTACCGCTGGGTGGGTTTGGACTGCCAACCCTTAGGTTAATGGTGGAATGCAAACTGTTTGCATCACCCAGAGACCTTCCTGCACAAGGCAGCCATTGTTCTTGTTAGGCTTTTTCTTACACTGAGCTGACATCTGCCCTCCAGGAGCTGATCTTTCATCTGTCCCATGGGGTTCCCCATGCCAAATAAACCCTCCTCCCACAAGAACTGCTGGGATAACAGCTACCATTTCTTGAGCACCCCCTATGTGCCAAGTATGCCATGCACACTTTTTTCCACTTAATCTTTGCCCAAACAGCCTCAGAAAGAGGCACTTAGAGTTGGGGTCCCTTGCTCGAAGGCACACAGTGAGTAGCGGCAGAGTCGGGATGTCAGCTGAGTCAGAGCCCATCAGTTGAAGCCACTTTCCAGTGCCTCCCAAGCCCTCTGTCCTCCACTGCTCACATCCCAGCTCCTTTAACTGCCTGAGAGCCTTCTCTCACCAGCCCAGTGGACCTCCTGAACCAACTCCCAGTGGTCAGTGTCCCCACAGCTCAAGGCTCCCACCAGGAGATCACATTTCGGGTGCAGCCTGACCAGCCCAGAGCCCCACAGTGCTGTCTCCTTGTCCACCCAGAGGGTGCCCTGTTGTTGCCTTATTGTATGGGCACTGGTGTCAGCCGGGGTTCAAAGCCAGGCTCTGCCACTTACTAGACACGATCGAGCGTTCGCATCTCTGCTACCTTACAAGGCTGTTGAACATTCAGTGCGATCCTGGTGGGACAGTGATTGGCATGTCAAAAAACAAACAATTAAACTTGTTGCCATCAAGTCGATGCCGACTCATGGTGACCCCATGTGTGACAGAGTAGAACTGCTCCATAGGGTTTTCTTGGCTGGAACCTTTATGGAAGCAGATCGCCAGGCCTTTCTGTAGTGCCTCTGGGTAGACTTTAACCATCAAGTTCTAGGTTGATAGATGAGAACAAACCATTTGTGCTACCCAGGGACCTTGTGCCAATCAAGGGACCGATTGGCACATAATAAGCGCGTAATATGGGGTCCCCAGGGGGCAGAAACGGTTAAGTGCTTAACTACTAGCTGAAAGGTTGGTGGTTCAAAGCCACCCACAGACACCTCGGAAAACAGGCCCAGTGATCTGCTTCTGAAAGGTGACAGCCTTGTAGACACTATGGACCAGTTCTACTCTGCACACATGGGGTCACCGTGAGTCAGCATCAACTCGAAGGCAACTAACAACAATAACAAGACGCACGTAATAAATTATCGCTACATTTATCATTCTGGCCCAGGACTGGGAGCAAAAAGGATTGTCGTCTCTTTCCTGTCACAGGCTCAGGAGGGTCCCTGAGAGTGATGAGGGTAGACGGGTACCTCCTTGACTCCTTGTCTCTCTCTTCTTGCCCCAAAGGTGAATCTGGGCCTCCTGGTATTCTCACTCCTAGGATTCCTGCTACCTTCCTACCTCTGTTACTTCCGCGCCCGACTCCAGAGGGAGTACCCCACCGACTGGACAGACCCCCAGAAGGTGCATAGCAACTCCGAGCTGACGGCGGTGTAGACCTTTAAGGTCCAGGGACCTGAATGGCAGGCATTCATGCCTGAGCAACTAAAGGGAATGCCCCCATGTGGTTTGTGTACCTGTAAAATACGCACAGAGCCAGGGGCCGCGGACTTATAAATACCCAGAGTTCTATTTTTGTAGGGACTTGCAAAAGAAAAAAAAAAAACTTACCCTAATAAAACCTCCCAAAGCAACGCTCCATTGACTGAAGACAGCCCTGTGCTGGAGGGTTTGGGCCTTCTTCCCTTCCTCCTTGGATTGGAGGAGACCTGTTCTCTGGGCCTTCATCATGGAGGACCTGCCTCCTGGTGCCGCCTGAAGGCTTGCGGGGTCAGCAAACAGGCTACCTGCCCCTAAAGTCCCAGCTGCACAATGCCAGGAGTGTGCATGTGTACATGTGCGTGCCTGTATGTGCGCATGTATGTGCACACACGACAAACTTCCCCTCGCAAGAAAGGGGACCTGAGGCTGCTGGCTGTGTCCTGGAAGGGGTGTGGGGGGCAAGCTCCTTCCAGGGGCCAGAGGGCAGGTTCCCTCGCTGGTGCTCCTTCTTGCTGGTCTTAGAGGAAATAAAAAAGGGAAGTGAGAGACTGGCTGGTGTGTGCCTGTGCCTGGGGGTGGGTGGATGTCTCCTTATGCCCCCACTTCCCTTCTCACCCAGGCTCAGCTGGCCATTAAGTGGGACGCTTGGAGTGCCAGCCTGCCGCCCTCTGGCTGTGGGCTCACCCTGCTGTTCTCAACCATGCCTTGCCCTTAGTGCCTGAAGGGGGTCCAGATCCTGCCCCCTACTTCATAGGGTTGTGGAGACATCCAGGAGGCTGGCATTTTTCCAGACAGGGGACCGGGACAGTATGCTTTAGAAAGAGTGCTAAGGGCTGACTCTCAAGTGCATCCACCAATGCATCCCTGGGGGGGCTGCTGAAAGTAACACTTCTTTGTGGTCTCCTATTTTATCTTTAAAATTCATGCAAATTTTGAGTTCTACTTTCTACTGTATTTACAGTTGCTTTTAATGTTAAAGTGAGATTTTAAAATTACCTACAGCGAGGGGAAAACAACATCTTTGAGGAAAGGGACGTTCCAGGAAGACATACCTTATTTATCCTGGGCCTTCTGGAGTTCCCTTGTACACCTGCTGGTGCCCCTGGGGCATAAACCTTAGAGGCTAGAGTAAGTCATAGACTGAGGATCTGCCTGCTCTACGTAAGTATCCCATTTAATCCTAACTATAGCCCAAGATATTTTCAGTCACCTTGTATGCATGCAAAAGCTGGACAATGAATAAGGAAGACCGAAGAATTGATGCCTTCGAATTATGGTGTTGGTGAAGAATATTGAATATACTGTGGACTGCCAGAAGAACGAACAAGTTTGTCTTGGAAGAAGTGCAGTCAGAATGCTCCTTGGAAGCAAGGATGGTGAGACTTGGTCTCACGTACTTTGGACATGTTATCAGAAGGGATCAGTCCCTGGAGAAGGACATCATGCTTGGTAGAGGGTCAGTGAAAAAGAGGAAGACCCTCAAGGAGATGGACTGACACAGTGGCTGCAACAATGGGCTCAAACATGCCAACGAGTGTGAGGCAGCACAGGACTGGGCAGTGTTTCGTTCTGTGAGTCGGAACTGACTTGACGATGTCCAACAACAGCATAGCCCAAGAGGTTGGTATTGTCATCCCTGTTTTATAGGTTGAGGAAGCAAGCCCCAAAGGTTAAGACAAGCCTAAAGAGCACAGTTGGTAGGTGGTAGAGTTGTCGGAACCTGGGCAGGTTGCCTGCAGAGCCCTGGCCACAGGGGCCATCGGGCAGAAAGGAGGCCCCACACTTCTCAGCCCCAGCTCTCAGCTGCTCTCAGGGCCAAGAGGGACCTCAAAGGCCTTGTCCACCCCCCTCTAAAACCCCAGTTGTTGTGTGCTGTAGAGTCGATTCTGAGTCCTAGCAACCCGATAGGACAAGGTAGAACTGCCCCATAGGATTTCCTAAGCTGCAGTCTTTATGGAAGCAGATCACCAGATCTTTTCCCCCTCAGAGCAACTCTTGAGTTCAAACCACTGACCTTTTGGTTAGCAAATGACCGCTTAACCATTTTGCCACCAGGGTTCCTTAAAAAACCTGGGAAACCGCAAATGTTAGGGCTGGAAGACGGCATTAAAGATAAGCTATTTTCCCTCCCGTTGTCTTAAAATTTCTTTGTAAGCTAATAAAGTAAACCACCTATCCATTTTACAGATGAGGAAACATGTCCAGAAGGCTCTGGAGACTTGACACAGACACACAGCAGATCTCTGGTTTCTGAGCCCAGACTCCTTAATTCCAACCCAGTGCCCTTTCTGCAAAATAGGAAACCAGAGCTGGACAGCACCCACTAACGGAGTTGGCGGGTTCCCAGAGTGCCTGCTCGGGTCTGAAGAACCTGCTGGTGGTTGACGGGAAGCTCAGAGCGGTCCGGATTCGGGGTGAGAACGGGTGGAGGGAGCCAGGCGTGTGCGCCGGGTACTTGGCGTGGCCAGCAGGCGGCGCTGCGTGGCTGCGGCTGGCCTGGCCCGGGACGGGTTGTGGTGGGGTGGAAAGGCGGCGAGCCAGGAGCGCGCACTTCCCCCGCCCCAACTCCCCCCACCCCACGCACACACATTCACCCACGAGTTTGCCCTTCCCGAATCTCGGTTCCTGAACCCTTGCCCTAGGCTTGCCCTGCCTTTCCCATGAGATGTCCCCACGCTTTCCCGCCTCCGCCTCCACCCCCCTTCCAAGCGTTGTCCCCAGCCCCACCGACCCTCACGACGGAAGGAGGGGTCTCGGCGCTTGGGGACACCGGCTGGAGGGTGGCGGCAGAAATCTCGCTTCCTGGGGGAGGGGTGTCTCCGCCGGGGGAGTTTGGGGAGGGGGCTGGCAGGGGCGGAAGCAAGCTGGAGCCGTGTTTGTCGCGGCGCTGCCGAGTGGAACAGATGGCTGGGGAAGGGAGACGGTGCGTGGCGGGGAGGAGGAGGGATGCGGGGGCCGGAGGATGCGGAAGAGGGATTTCGACGCCCCGAGTCTCCCAGGAGAAGCCCCCCCCCCCCCCCCATCTCTTCCCAGAAATGGGCGGGGAGGGCCTGCCTTCCCGGAGCGCCCTGGCCTCAGGCCCCTGACCCCCGTCGGCTCCCTCCGCCCCGGCCGCGCCCTCGCCCCCCGGCCCCGCGGCGCGGCCGACCTGCGGGTCACGACTTCAGGGAGCGGCCGGGTCGTAAGGATTAACGGGGCCGCGCGGAGGGCGAGGGGGCGGCGAGGCGCGGGCGCAGAACTGGAGCGAGTTCTGGGATCGCGGAGCGCTGAGGGAAAACGTGTTAATTGGAGCTTTATGCAAATGAGCCGGGGCTGGGCTGGGGCGGGGTGGAGTGGGGAGAAGGCCAGACGCCGAGAGGCCCTAGCGGACTTCCTAGGCAAGGGCAAGGGTGCTGGCCGGGAGGGTGGTGGGTGTGTATCCGCTTATCCGCTTGTTGAGTCTCGGGAGGGCCGCAGCTCCTTGGGATGAGAGGCTTCCTCCCTGATTCTGCCCCCAGAAATGGGTAGGGGACTCTTCCAGAAGTTCAGTGGGACCTTTCCAGAAGCTCGTGGTCTCATATGGCCACGAGCAGAGGGCCGGGGGCACCCTGCAGGTGTCTGCTTCGGCTTCTGACTGCATACCTGGGGTCTCACCTTCGCTGTGTCCCCTCCCCCGTCTCTGTCTTCTCTCGCTCTTCTCCATGCCTTATTCTTCTTCATCCTTTATTCCTCATCCCTGGCATCACCTTCCTCCCTTTCACACGGGAGGATTGTAACTTCCACCAAGTTTTACAGTGTGTGTATGGGGGGGGGGGCGTTGAGAAGGGGGGTGGTGTCTAACTTTTCTGCCTTTGTTTTCTCCTGTCCACTCCCCCCACGGACCACTTGCGGAGATGTTTCTCAAACTTCAGTAGAGTGCTTCATAATCCAGCCCCACTTGTTAAAATACAGATTCCAGGGCTTCCCTCAGAGATCTGATTCAGTAAGTCTGAGGGAACCGAGAATCTGCATTTTAGCAGCTCCCCACCTAAATCAGATGCAAATGACTCATTTTTAGAAACACTGAGCAGGGGATTGGTAGGGTGGAATGATTAAGGAGGAGCCTCCTTTGCCCACCGCACCCTGCCTCTTTCCTCAAGGGCCCTGACTAAACCTCTGCTCGGTGCAGCCATTTCTGCTTCCAGTGTGATGGACCCAGACATGGAGAATGTACTCAAGAGGAGGAAATGAGGGAAAGAAGGAAGGAGAGATATTATGAAAGAATGAGTCTACACGTGGCTCTTCTCTCTTTGAGCAGTGTTTTTCCCTTCCTTTCTCCTCTACCTGCCTCCCTCCCCTACCTGCCTCCCTCCCCTACCTGCCTCCCTCCCCTACCTGCCTCCCTCACCCTCTGTCTCAGCTGCACCATCTGTCTTTCTTACTCCACCAGCCTGGCCCCACTTTCTTGCCTTCCTTCCCCCTTCCAATCTGAAGTTCTTAGGAACACCAGAGGATCTTGGTGGGGCCGGGGGGGAGGCAACTTGGGTCTGAGGGAGGGATGGCAGAACTAAAGAAAGTCCCCACCTCTTGAGTAAAGGGCCAGAGGGACTCTCTGTGGCTGGAAGAAAATGGGAGGAGGGAGGGAGAATGTCGGGAGAGACAATAGTAACAAACATGTATACTGAGGTCACCTTTCCATGGGCTTTTGCCCTTACTCCCCACAGCAATTTGATTTAGGTGGGCACTATTGCCCTCACCTTTTCAAATGAAGAAACATATACTCAGAGAGATTAAGTAACTTGCCCAAGGTCACACAGCTAGTAACCATTCACCCTTGTACTCCCCCCAAGCCATTTCCCAAGTATGGTCACTCCAGAGCCCAGTGGACAGCTGTCCCAGGCATGCCCTCCATGCTGCTCCCTCAGGGGCAATGAGGATGGATAAAGGGCATTGTGTACAGAGATGAAAGGAGATGCTCACGTTTCGGAACATCTGACAGGTCTCTGGAAGCATTAAAAATTCATGTGGAAACCTGACCCCACCTGGGCCTTGGGCCTGCCACCTGGACTGTCCCTGGCCTTGTGGTCTTTCAGAGCCTGGTGGGCGAATTTCCCTTCAGTCGTGTCCTGAGAGCCCAAGTCCGTCCTGAAGTCTTCCTATGTCAGAGGAGAGGGGTTCTAAGAGTTAGGGATCTAAGGTCAGGAGCCATCAGTTCAGAAAGCAGGGCTGAGAGCCCTCCCTCCACCCGAGGGTGTAAGAACCTTAGAGGCTTAAGGGTTTATAAGCCCTGTCATCTGGCGTTCTCCTAGTCCTTTCCTCGGGCAAATAGATGCTCACTCTCAGTTCAGGACTGAAGCCTGGCTGTGCTTCCCAAGGTGGCCAGTGGGGGGCAGCAGTCTGCTTGGCCAGAGCCTGAGCCTCTGTTCGTGGCTTTGAAGGGTGGTAACAGAACCCCTGTGTAGGGTCAGAGAGACTTGGCCTTGAGGAAGGGCTCTGGAGTCTATGATCTGAGGGGAGATGGGGTTTCATAATTTGGTGGAGACTGAGGAACTTCAGGGAGTGTTCAAAGCACGTGTGTGGGTTTCCAGCACATGGTAACTGGATGGCCAGATTGATAGGATCGTTCTAGCTGGAGGGATGGTTTGGGACAAGGCTTTGAGTAGGGAGGCTAGAAAGACCAGAGTCTGAGCTATCTTTGATGCTTTGCTTAGATGTTTTGTCGTTAACTTGTAGGCGATAGGGAGCATTTGTAGGTTCCTGAGTGACATAATGACATAAATTTTGTCAGATGGATCTGGTCACCACGGGCAGGCTGGGTGGGAGGGAGAGTTGCATGTAGGAAAGGTAGAGAGGAGGTTATTGCTATTTTCTCTATTCCACCGTGAGGTAATGAGGAGCTGGAGCAGGGAGGTGGCGGGGAGATGGAAAGGAAAGGGTGGATTAGGGCTGGGAGGGGGACTGGGTGACTGAGTAGATATAGGAGATTCAAGAAAGGAAGGCATTTACTACTAGACTCAGTGTATGGAGAGAATGCAAAATGGGGTACACTCACAGAATGAGGGAGGTGAATGAGTTCTGTTTCTTTCAGAGTGTGGGAGTCTTGGACTGGCCCCTTCCCCTCTCTGGGCTTCAGTTTCCCCATCAGAACACGAGGGGATTGGACTGGATGGCCTTGACAGTCCCTTCTATTTCAGAATGTGTGGCTGCAAGGCGGTGAATCTGGGTTGTTTGGAGAAGCTGGGGTCTGTGTGTGTGAGATCTCGGGGAGGGGGGTGGTCTCTGAGTGGGTCCTGGTTGGGTGGGTGTGCATGCTTGTCAGTGTTTGGGGTGCATCTGCCTGTTTGTGGGACCCGTGGGTGGCTGGCGTGCCTGCATGTGCTCTGCAGCTCCGCTTTGTGTGAGTGTGTGAGCGAGCGTGCGAGCGTGGGTGTGCACGTGATGGGCGTCCGTGGGTCTGTCTGGACTGGTGGTGGTGGAGGTGGGGGTGCTGGAGAACCGCGTTGCTGCTGGCTCCTTCCTGAGGCTCACACACTCCTCCTGCTCTCGCTGTTCTGAAATAGCATCTGGACTGAAGGCCCATGAATATTTCACGATAATTCTGTGACCTGGACAGCCTGCTTTTGAGTTACCAGCATCCTCCTCCCTCTGCCCAGGCCCCGGCAGCCCCGCCTCCACCAGAGCTCCTGCCTAGCTGGCCCCCCCGCCCCAGTCATTAGCCTGACACAGGCCCCTGGGAGACCCCAGACTTGGAGCTCCCCAGGTTCCTGGCCAGCCACTCTCACTAACCCCTCCTCACCCTACTCCTTTATCCAAAGCCCACCTGACTCAAGCCTTACATGTTGACTCCTTCTCAGTTCTGCCTCCTCTTCTAACCATGGTTCTGACTTCCCTGGCCCAAGTCATGGAATCTCAGCTTCTCTCCTCCTTGAACCTTAGCATCCAGGTCCCCTCTGTCTTTCCATTCCCACCTCCCAAGCTAGATTCTTAATCCAAAATTCAAACAACCAAACTTCTCCCCAGTTGCTTCCTTCTGATGAGACGCACCCCTAACCTCCACCCTATACCTTCTTAGCCTGGACTTTTGCTCTGAGGGGCACAAAGGGTTAGGCACTTGGCTGCCAACTGAAAGGTGATGATTCAAACCCACCCAGAGGCACCTGGGAAGAAAGGCCTGGCCATCTACTTCCAAAAGGCCACAGCCATGAAAGCCACAGAGCCCTGGTGGCACAGTGGTTAAGAGCTCGGCTGCTAACCAAAAGGTTGGCAGTTCGAATCCACCAGCCGCTCCTTGGAAATCCTCTGTCTTATAGGGGTCACTGTGAGTTGGAATCGACTCAATGACAATGGTTTATTTATTTATTTTTTTTAATGAAAGCCAGATGGAGTACAGTTCTGCTCTGCAACACACGGGGTCACCATGAGTCAGAATGGTAACTGGTTTGGTTTGGTTTGGTTTTTCCTTGTCCCCAGCCCTCCCCACACACGCCAAAATGATGAAGCTGCTGATCACACCTCAAGCCAGCAAGTCCCCCCAACCTGGGATTCCTGTCCCTCTGGTTAGTTCCCCTAGTCCCTTTGTCTCTCCTCTAGCCTGCTTGGATAACTGCTTTTCTTACCTAGTCCATCCCTGATATTTTCTGCCCTAAAGGAGCCAAGGAATAGAGACCGGATGCCTATAGGACTGCCGTCTACAGCTGTGCAGGCTGTATACTGCCCAAGGGCACTTAGTCAAGGGGGCAAGTGAGAGCCAAAATCCAGCTTTATGCTCTGCTCACTAAAGTGTTTGCTCTGGTGTTGGGCTGTGTTTCCCTGGAGGAAACAAGAAGAACAAAAAACCCAAACCCGTTGCCATTGAGTCCATTCTGACTCATAACAACCCTATAAGACAGAGTAGAACTGCCCCATAGGGTTTCTAAGGAGCGGCTGATGGACTCAAACTGCCAACTTTTTGGTTAGCAGCTTGAGCTCTTAACCACTGCGCCACCAGGGCTCCTTCCTTGGAGGAAGAAGAGACTTTTTCCAATTTGCCCAGAGCCGTGTTTGGGCTGGCTGTGACCACGAATGTCTATGCTACTGCTGCTTGAAGGGGAAGCTGGGCACTGCTCTTTCCTGCCTAAGGCTGGAGGCCCACCCCAGGCTTAGCTCCTTAGACCCTAGACAATTCAGGGTTGGCTGTGGCTACTTCCACTGGACCAATGAGGCCATGAGGTGCCATCAGCCCCCATTCCTGGCTCTCAGGTTTCAAGCCACCTGGGACTCCAGGGTCCCACCTATCTTCCTCTGGCCTCAGCTTATTGTCCTGGGAGAGGGCAGCACACCAGCTCCAGCCAGCAAGAACCTCTTGAATGGCATGGGTTGTTAGTCACCTCCTAGAGGATTCTGACTTATGGCGACCCGATGTGTGCAGAGAAAAACTACTCCATGGGGTTATGAAGGCTGTGACCTTTCAGAAGCAGATCACCAAGGCTTACTTCTGAGGAACCTCTAGTTGGGTTTGAACCGCCAACTTTGTAGTTAGCACTACAGTGCTTAACCATTTGTACCACCCAGGGACCCCGATGACATGGTGGGGCTCCCGTTTCTCTAACCCTTGTTAGCCCTGAAATCCTTAGGGTTCTAAATCCACGTCCGACTTTCGAAGTCCTAAGCCAACAAATCTTACAGAAAGAGATAAAATAATAGAATTTTTTAATAAATTTTTTTCCCCAAACAATTGTTTTTGCTTTTCACCACACAGGGGCCATGGTGGAGAGGAAAGTTCTCTCGAGGCGCCCTAAAAAGTGTCCAGGGTAGACTTAGGAGAAGAGTATTCCTCCAGTGTCGGGAGGTTGAAGAGGCTAGGATGAGCAGGGCTGGAGGGTCAGCCTGGCCCCCATAGAGGCATCCCTCCAGACGGCTCCTGGGTGGGGCTTCTTCCGGAGCTGTCCAAAGGCTCCGCGGAGGAAGATGCTCTGCAGATAAAACTCCTTAGTTCGCCGTGGGCCTTGAGAGCTGGATCAGCGGCCTCCCGGGGCGCCCCACCTCAGTCTTCAAGTGGGGAAGAGTTAGTGGCCAGAGTTGGGGAAAGGCCGAGCCACCAGACACGCCCTCCTGCGGCTGCCATCAATCAGAGCAGCCCGGGAGGCAGAAGAGGCGGCCTGGTTCCTGGGTGCGAGAGGAGTTGGTTGGGAGGGGAACGGAAGACAGCAAAACCAGGGGCGGGGGCTGGGGTCAGAGCCCTAGCTCCGGAGACGCCCACCCCGGGCTCTTCAGTCTCAGCAACACAGTCAGAGGTGATGGGGCGCCAGAAGCAGGAGGCAGAGCAGAGGGGTGGGGAGCCCGGCCGCGAGCGCAGGGCCGCGGGAGTCCGGCGGCGCCTGGCAGGCCGCGCCGGGGCACTTCTGCTCGCCCCGCTGGTCCTCGCCCCCGTAGCCCCCCCAGTAGTCGTCCTCCGTGGGCGCGTCTCCGCCCTGGCGCCCCCGCGGGTCCTCCGCGGGCAGGTCTCGGTAGAGGGTGGACGGGTCAGCGGGGGGCGCCCCGGCCTCCGCCACCCCGTACAGGTGGTTAGATGAGCTGTTGCCGCGGGCGCGGCTGCCTGGCCGCGTGGGCACCGCCGGCGGGCAGGCGTGGAAGTCGGCCTCGCGGAGGGTGCGCAGGTCGCGGCCCTGGCGCTCCGGCGGCGTGGCGCACGTCACGTCGGAGCTGGACACGCGCGCGCGCTGGAACCAGGCCCAGAGCGGCCGCGCGCGGCAGTCGCACGCCCAAGGGTTGGCGTTGAGCCGGAGAAACTCGAGCGAGGGCAGGTCGGCGAGCGCCTCGCCAGGGAGCGAGGCCAGGCTGTTGTTGAACAGGTAGAGGATGGTGAGGCGGCTGAGGCCGCGGAAGGCCGCGCGGTGCACGCCCTGCAGCCGGTTCCCGTGCAGCAGCAGCCGGTCCAGGCTGCCCAGACCGCGGAACACGTGCTCCGTGAGCAGCCGCAGGCGGTTCCCGTGGAGGAAGAGGTGGCTCAGGTTGGCCAAGTCTGCAAACAGGTCATCCTGTGGGGAGAGGGAGGGGCGTAGAAGGGCGTGGTCCTGAGGACCCCGCCCTGCCTCGTCTCTCAAGGGCTGGGTGAAGGGGGAGGGAGGGAAGCACTTCGGCAGAGCAGATTTGGTTTCACCTTTTGATTCATAGTATTGGGTTCGAATCTTACCTCCTCTAACCTACTCGCTGTGGGAAAAGCTGTATAGTTGAGGTCAGTGGTTCTCAAACTTCAGCAGCATCAGAATCCCCTGGAGGGCTTGTTAAAACGGCAAATCCCTGAACTCTGCCCCCAGAGCTTGTGATTCAGAAAGTCTCTGGTGGGTCCTGAGAATCTCCGTGTCTTTACAAGTTCCCAGGTGATGCTGCTGCTGCTGGTGGTGGGGAAACCACACTTTGAGGTCTATTGGTTTCCTTCAGCATGCCTCCTGGGGAGCCAGACTTCCTGAGTTCAAATCCAGGCTCCATCAATAACCAACTGTGTCATCTTGGCAAGTCACTCCGTTATCTCTGTGACTGACTTTCCTCACGTGTAAAATGTGGAGATTAAATGAAGCAACATGTTTGAGGTGTTTAGAACAAAGTTTCTATGTGGTAAGTATTCTGTGAGTTAACCATTATTGTTAACATAATCTCTTAGCCCGTTTCCTCATCTGTAAAACGGGATGAGTATACCTACTTCATGAGTTTGTCCTGAGGATTAAAGACAATCCACATAAAGATAATTTGGTGAAGTGCTGGGCACAGTACCTGGCATACATGGATCCATCCAGTGATTAAGCCCACAGGCACAGGCACCAGAGCCCCAGGTTCAAATCCAGCTTGCCCTCTTCCTAGGTGTGTTACCTTGAGCAAGTTATTTAACTTTAGGGGGCCTTGGTTGCCTCAGTATGTACACTGAGGATAATAGTACCCCTCCCCCAGGCGGGCTGAGTGAGGGTTAGATGGGGCAGCGCTGTGAGGGGCCATGTACAATACCAGCATGGTTGGCCATCAGTAAATGGTAGTTATTATTACAACTGGAGCCCCGGTGGTGCAGTAGTTAAGAGCTCGGGCTGCTAACCAAAAGGTCAGCAGTTCAAATTCACCAGCCACTCCTTCGAAACCCTATGGGGCAGTTCTATTCTGTCCTCTAGGGTCGATATGAGTCAGAATCAACTCAACGGCAATGGGTTTTTAAGCGCAATATGGAGTCCCTAAAAGAAAAAAAAAAAACAAAACAGAAAACCAAACCCGCTGTCGTTGAGTTGATTCTGACTCATAGCGACCAGGGTGGTATAAATGGTTAACCTACTTGGCTGCTAATCGAAAGGCTGGAGGTTTGAGCCCACCCAGAGGTGCCTGGGAAGAAAGGCTTGGAGATCTACTTCCAAAAAATCAGCCACTGAAACTCTTATGTAACACAGTTCTACCCTGACACACATGGGGTCGCCATGAGTTAGAATTGACTTGACAGCAATGGGTATTATTACTAGGAGTCCTTGGGTGGTACAAATGGTTAATGCGCTCGGCTGCTAACCGAAAGGTTGGAGGTTTAAGTCCACCCAGAGACACCTTGGAAGAAAGGCCTGGTGATCTACTTCGAAGAAACCAGCCATTGAAAACTCTATGGAAAGCCCATTTTTCAGACAAAGATTAGACAGGTCTATAAAACAAACAATAATACACGTGAGGAACGTGCTTCTTATTCTTAGTTTGATCAATATACAAGACCAAATGGGCAACTCCTCCCCCAAAAGCAAGACAAGAATGCAGGAAGGGACAGGAAAACTGGGTGAATGGACCTGGGAACCCAGAGTGGAAAGGAGGAGAGTGCTGTTCCAACCAATGTCACAGAACAATCTGTGCATAAAATTTTGAATGAGAAACTAACTTGTGCTGTAAACTTTCACCTAAAACCAAAAAACCCAAACCCACTGCTGTAGAGTAAATTCCTACTCATAGTGACTCTAGGACAGAGTAGAACTGCCCCATGAGTTTCTAAGGAGAAGCTCATGGATTTGAACTTCCATCTTTTTGGTTAGCAGCTGAGCTCTTAGCCACAGTGCCACCAGGGCTCCTTTCCTAAAACACAATAAAATTATATAAAAGAAAAACCTGTGGAGCACAGTTCTACTCTGACACACATGGGGTCACCATGACCTGGAATCAACTTGACAGCAACTGTGTTTCTGGGCAGCTCAGTAAGAATTAGGTTCCATCCCTCTTCTGCTAGACAGGTTAGTCCTGGGGACCAAAGGTTCTGCTACTGGGCCTTCAGGGTTATTGAAGCTCCACCTCCGGAGGCAGCAGGGGAGGGGAAGGAAGAGCAGAGCTGCTTCGCAGGCTCTGCACCCCTGGTCTCTTGGAGCTGCTGTCCCTCTTGTCCAGAGTCACTGATTCAGACCACGTTAGTGTTGGAAGGAACTTGGAGCTGTGGTTCAGACTTAATGGCGGGGGGGGG